AACTCTCTGATGCATAACAAGTGATTGCAAAGACCATGGCCTGTATCAGGCACACCTTAGTCTCCAGAGAGACACCATTGCTCTTGAGTACTTTAGAGGGGTCCCTAACAGCAGACTTTCCCATCGCAATACGCTTTTTTATTTCCTGACTGCTGGTGTCAAGAGTGTTGACTGTGGAGCCGAGCAAACTGAAGCTGTGAACAATCTCAATCTCTGAGACTGATCTTTAGCATAAGTTATTTGCCTTCTGCCAAAAGTGAAGAAATTGTTTCGTTCTCCTGAGCCCCATCTTCCAGGCCTGTGAGAGAGAGTGATGGCTAGAGTTAGAATGTGTGAGGCATGGGCGCAGGACCCAACAGGGGATTGGTGGCCAGCTGATGTTCCCAGAGTTCCTTCCTGGTGGTTAAAACCTCAGCTACTGGCTGAGGAGTTGGAGGCTTTAAGGTCATCCACAGGCACCTGGAAGAAAGCCCTGGTGATCTGTGTTTTTAAAAATCGTCACTGAAAACCCTGTGGTGAGAGTTCTACCCTTCTAGTGAAGATGTGCCAATAATAAGGTTCCTCCCCTTGGCAATCCTGACAAACCAAGGCTGTGACGTGAGTCCACATTTAGAAACAACTCTCCCTTCAAGCTCCGACTTCTTACATGCTGTGAGGTGCCACCAGGTCGTGTGCGACTCATAGTGGCCCTACAAACAGCAGGTCTGTGCCGTTTCCTATCCTGCACCATCCTCATCATCTCTGACACGGTCAAGTCCATTGTTGGAGTCACTGTGTCAGTCCCTCTTGCTGATTTGTCTTCCTCTCCTTTGCTGATGTTCTATCTTTCCGCATGTGGTTTCCCTTTCCAAGGAATAGCCCCTCCTCACAACAGGCTGGTGCCCTAGTGGTAAGAAGCTGTGCTGCAGTCCCAGAGACACAAACGGAATCGGACAGCTGCTCTGCGGGAGAAAGATGGGCAGCCTCCCCCGGTGCCTTTACTGCCTCTGAAAACTCACTAGAGGCTCGGTCACCTGGGAGTCAGTTCTGACTCCATGACACACAGCAACAGAAACATAGCCAAAGTACGTAAGGTGAAACTTCTCCATCATTGTTGTGAAGGAGCTCTCTGGCTTCCCCTTCTCCAAGACATATCTGTTTGTTCTTTGACAGTCCATATGAGGTTCAGTACTCTTCTCCAGCACCACAGCTCGAAGGCATCAATTCTTCTCCTATTCTGCTTATTCATTGTCCGAGTCTCAGATGCATAGCAAGTGGTTGAAAAGACTGTGGCTTGAATCAGGTGCACCTTGGTCTTCAAACTGACATCATTGCTCCTCAGCACTTTGGAGAATTCCCTTAGAGCACACTTTTTCAATGTAATACGTCTTTTGGTTTCTCGGCCACTACTGCTAAGGTGTTCACTGTGGATCCAAGCGTGGTGAAATCATGACCATTTCAGTCTTCTCTCCATGCATTGTGACGTTGGCCTGAGAGTGAGGATTTTTGTCTTCTTGATGTTGAGACATAACCCATGGTGCAGGCTGTAACCTCGGCTCTTCTGCAGCAAGCGTTTCACGTCCTCGTACTTGTCATTTATTCAATCTCACTCTGCCGGCTGGAACATTTCCACACTTGCTTTTGACACCCTTAAGCAAAGAAGTCGGTTTTTCGGGTGGCGTTGGAATCTAAACTGGCTGAGTAGTTTTTCATTAATAGTATTTTATAGATTTAGAGTAGTTGTACTGTGACACTGATGTGTCCAATGTGATAACGGTTGCCCATGGTGGACAGTGTTTGGTGAAGCTCCCCAATTAAAACAAGCTTGGAAGCAGGAGTGGCATCCACTTCTGAAATCGCTTACCTCTGGAAACCCTATGAACCTGGAGAGAGGATGGAAGTTCTACAAGTGTTCAGGTCTTTCATTCATAGGGTCACTATGAGTCGTCTACGACTTGACGGCACCCAACAACAACAACAGAGTAGTTTTGCACTTGGTGGTAAGAATGAGTCTAATCCCATCAGTTCTTCGTTCAGAGATGGAAGGTCATTTATTTGTGCGCTCCAACTTCCTTTTCTTTGTCTATAACACTAGTGCCAAGGTGTTCACTGTGGATCGAAGCATGGTGAAATCATGACAGTTTCTTTTCTCCATGCATCATGATGTTGCCTATTGGCCTGATAGTGGGAATTTTTGTCTTCTTGATGTTAAGACGTAATCTATAGTGAAGGCTGTAACCTCAGATCTGCGGCAAGTATTTCACGTCCTCATACCTGTAGTTTATTACTATGTGCTAGCTCAGCTGTCATAACGATTGAGTAAAATGATGTCTTTCTTTAAGGTTTGCCCCAGTCGCTGGGGTACAGCTGTTGTTAGTTGCCCTGAGTCGATCCTGACTCCTGGTAACCCTGTGTGCTGAGCAGAATCACCCTCTAGTGCTTTCAGGGCTTGGTGATCTCTCCTAAACAGGGCTTGTGTTCTGAGTTTCTTCTGGTTGGGTTTGAACCACCCACCTTTGACCTAATAGCTAAGTGCTTAACCATTTATGCCACTAAAGCACTTTCTAGAATATAATTGGTAGTGGGGAAATACTGTCCATCTCCACCCTGCACTCCCACCAAGAATTACAACTTGATACTTGGCTTATTTAGAAGAAGGATGGAAATGCACAAACATAAGGTCGTCAAGACAGGTGTACAAATATTCCCAGGGTCCTGTGTGTCAGAAGATTAAAACTGCATATATACACTGATCTCTGTCCATCCTATAATCTTTCATTTGTGGTCGGCAAGTGGATTCCGACCTCAGGTGTGTTTTATTCCTGGAAAAGACACAGATGTTGAAGAGCTGATTATAAAATCTGATGTTCAAGGAGGTTTTCTGCAGTTTGTCTGAAGGTTTCCCACAACTTCTTGGGAGCCATCCTGTCCTGTGTGTGTTGATGCTCAAGCACTGAATCGATTCCTTTGTTGAATACAATAGACTTGATCTGCTGGTCATTCAGGCTTCCTGCCCCAGGGTCATCTGTGCCCCACCCCCAGAACCTCTACCTGTAGTGCTGTGGCCTCAGGCGCAGCCGTATCTGTCTTCCCTCCGGCTCTGCCTGCCTGCTGGCTCCGCCCAGCTCTCCCCTGACCGTGGAGTCCTCAGACCCACTCTCTGTTTTCCACTAGAATTCAAGCCCTCCAGGACCTCTCAGGAAACATAGGGTTTCAAGACCCTGTAAATTAGGGGAACCACTGACTCCTTGTCAAGGACAATTGAAATAAAAACAGAAGTAATGAAACAGCAGAACAACTCTCATTACTTGAACTTGAAATTCTTTTTATCATAAACCCTTTCATTAATCCTCCGCGAGCCAGGGTTGATGAACCCACCTTTGGTAATGCTCTTGTCCCTTGTTACATTGTCTACCACTCGTTGTTGTTGTTGAGTGCCATAGAGCCAGAACCAACCCATAGCTGACGCTCCAGCGGGTTTTCAGAGACAGTAAAAGGAGGAAATTGCCCATCCTTCTTCGGAGCAGCTGGTGGATTTGAACCACATGCCTTTGGGATTGCAGCTCAACTTCTTGCCAATAGGCCACCAGAGCTGCACTGCTTATTAAAACAGCTCTTGAGGCCCAACGTTCGTCATGTACTGATGTCCACAAGTGAAATGAAAAAGGAGGCAGTAGACGTGGAAACGTCTCCACATTACCTGCTACGAAACATGTAACATGCACTAAGCCACCATCTGCATGCAAATGCCGTGATGAGGCAAGACCCCAAACTGGCAGGTGTGTCCACCTGTGCAGAGGGACCTGAGTGTCGGGAGAAGCGGAGCAAACACCTGGCCACACACTCCTTGAAGGCCTTCTTGCCATTTTGAACACAGCGCTCATCTCCTCCGAGCTCCCTGGCCTCTCGCACAGAGGAGAGGGTGAAGTGCTTGGCTCCACACTGATGCCTGGTGGTTGGCCTCTGCCCACTGCCCGTTGCCCTGCTCTCCCTCTCACTTGCCTGCTGGCCCTCTTCCCTGTCTCCCTAGACAAGTGGGGAGCAGTGAGAACTTGCTTTACTGTGCTGCCCTCTTCAGCACCCCTGCACCTGGCCTGAATCATCTTGAAGCCCTTGGAGCGTCGGGCTGAGACTCCCTTTGGAGCAGAGCCCCCTCAGAAGTGTGCTGGCCCGGAATTCCCTTCTCCTGGCTTCCATCCTGCCTCTGGCCCTCATTCACTGTGAAACGTGGAGGCCTCGGGAGGCAGCGACATCCTGAGTGGGAAGGCCAAGGGCTGTGAGGTTGAACCCTACTGGCCCTGTGCCCTGGGGAGCTTAACTCAGCACCATCATTATCTGTTTCTTCAAAATGAGGAGCGTTGGGGCCCGGGGCCCAGTCCATGTGGTGGTGTCCTCTCTCAGGGGCACCTAGCATGGTGTTCAGCACCCACTCTTCCTTCTTGTCCCTTCTTCCTTTCCCATTTGATTCTCAGCCTTTCTTTTCCTTGGATCATAAAGCCCTTGGGTTCCCAAGTGACACAAGTGCAAGGCCAGGTATCCGACACGCACCCCTGACTCCGATGATGACAGCTCTGGGGAGATGCTGGGCCCTGCAGTGTCTGTGGGTCCCCTGTTCCTGACGCAGGACTCATGCCTGCCTCTACATAAGGGGGTTTTCATCACTGAAAAGCTGTGACTGCAAAGGGTTAGCTGTGCAGGGCGCGCACAGATGCTCTCTGGCCCGTCCGCTCGCTATAGGAATATTTGGAGGATGAGTGAAATAATGTCTTCCATATGCTGAGGCGATGGCTTAGCCCCATGCAGGGGAGAGTGGAAAAGCCCACGCTTATTAGCAGACTGACCTTGGTCAAAACATTAGCTGCGCTCGGCCTCAGTTACCGCATTTCAAATACGAGGGTAATAAAATCCCACCTCACAAGGTTACTGTGAGGCTCATATGAGGCCGTTCACGAGGGAAGGCTTTGTTGGAGCGGCATGTTCAGCCTGCAGAGCCTAAATACGCGTTTGTTCATTGTTTTCAGCGGAGAGTCCAGGACGTCATCAGCCCGATTGTGTTCGAAGCAGCCTACAGCCTTGGTGAGCACGTGATCGGACAGGAGAGGGAGCTGCCGGCTCTGACGCCAGTCCTCCGCTGGAAGAAGGGGCAGAAGATAGCCCAGAAGAATCAGGTCAGAGCCTGGAGGTCACCCCCAGGTCCTGAGAGGGCTGCTGCATGCGGTGGAAGGAACCATGGGGAGGCCAAGAGATTGGGGCCCTCGGTCCCTGGGAGACTTGGCCAGCCAGCTCACAACCTTTCTACCCCCAGGGCCCTGATCTAGAAAATGATGAAATTAGTCATCCTTAGAGTTGTTTGGGGTCCCTGGGGGATGCAAATGATTTGCAGCTCTGGTGCCTTGTTGTGTGTTAGGTCAAATACGATTCTGTAAACAACAGATCTAAACCCAGTCCACTCCTGTGACATCCTCACACTTCCTGACATACTCAAGCCTATTGCTGCAGTCATTGTATCAATCCTTCTGGTTGAGGGTCTTCCTCTCCTTTGCCATCCCTCCACCTTTCCAGGTATGATGTTTCTCTCCAAGGATTAGCTTCTCTTAGCAGTATGCTCATGAAATGTGAGATAACGCTTTATCATCTTTTCCTCCAAGGAGTACTCTGGCTGCACCCTCTCTGAGACATATCTGTTTGTTCTTTTGGCAGTCCATGGGATGGAGAGTCAGTACTCTTCTCCAGCACCACAGTTCCAAGGCCTCAATTCTTTTTCTGCCATCCTTAGCAAATGATTGACAAAACTGAATCAGGCACACCTTAGTCTTCAGAGTGACAGCATTGCTCTTCAGTAATTTGGTTCTGATTCGTAATGCTGCTCCATTGAATTTCTAAGGCTATAGATTATAATGGGAGGAGACTGTCCATGGAGCTTTCTCCACAGAGCTGCTTGGGGTTTGAATCACTGAAGATGCCCTGTTTGGGTTAGCAGCACAACACCCTATGGAATGAACTCTGCCATCAGAGCTCCTTTCTGTGAAGGTCACAGTCAAGACAACCTCGTAGAAAAATTCTATAACTCACAGGGTCACCATGAGTTGGGATGAACTTGACTGCGCTATGTGTAGGGTTACATTTAATAGCCATGTGACTAGAGAGGTTGAGACTATTTTTCAAGCACTTAGAAGATGATTAATCCATGAGACTGTAAACTTGCTATTTTGTGCCCAAAGTTGGCCCCTATTCCTAGAAGGTTTCCAAAATTTACAACAGGAATTTGTACATGTATAATAGGTCCAAAATAAATGTTTGCTGGGTGGCAAGGTGAGAAGGGTGAAGAAGTAAACACTTGGGCTTGTTGAATTGTAGAAAAAACACCCTGGAAGACAAGTCACTGGGAGTGATGGGGGGTGGCTGGTCCTGCCTGACGCTGATCAGATTCTAGGCTATATTAGAGCAGTGTTTATTCAGGCCGAGTCGGTGACCCTGTGAACTGAGCATCAGCGCTGGCCTGTTTCTATACCCTGAACAATCTAGAAATGTGAAGCTCTTGTTACTGTGCAGGAAGTTTGCAAGGAATTCCTGACTCCGTGTCTGGTTGAAACCCAAGGTATTCCCAGATCCAAGACCTTAGGGAAGGTCAGAAGAAGTGAGTTGGCTTTAAAAAAAAATTTAAAAATGACAAAACTAATCTGGAGTCCTGCAAGAGTCAAGGCCAATCTGTGAGACCACCCACTGACCACACCCCCTTCCCTGATTCCTGTCTCCTCTGAACTTTGCAGAGAGGAATGAGTCATAAAGTGCAGATTAGAATTGCAACCGGAACCACAGAGAAGAGTTTGGGATTCAAGACATCCACCAAGGTTTTCAATTAGGTGGTGAGATTTACACCCAGGTGCCCTGGTTTTGCCCCACCGTGTCTCCCATACCATCTGAGCCAGGTTTCTTAGAAGAAAAGCCCGAGCTAGGGATTCAGGAGCATGAGGAAGTGCTGTCGGGAGAAATCTATAAGGAGGTGGGAGAAGTGACAGGCAGAGTGCAAGAGTGTGGTCTCAGTGCCAGCCCAGCCTTGAACTGCTCTCTGAGAGATTCCGGAGCATAGATCACACCAAAGGCTTGTCCTTTCTGTGAAACCTTGGGGCTGGTCTTTTGCACCCCACATTAATTGGTTCTTACTGGCTTCCGCATGTCGAGGGGAGCTAACCCGCCTTGAAGGAAGCTTACTCCCTTGACTGATGATAGTTCCCAAGAGAAGGATGCGGTTGTTAGTCTCTAGCGGCAACACGCTCATCAGCTGGATTGCATGGTCACTGTCAAGGAGATTGGGAAGGGCCAGCAGTGCCCATCGCACGCATCGCCTGGTGACAGAATTGCCTTCCAGGGTGCTGCTTTTGATTGAAAATCTAAGCTGCTTTCAGAAGCACTAGGGTCTCTGTAAGGTGGCTGGGTAAGTCCAGCTGATTGGGAGCAGGGTCGAGGAGAGTGAAGGGAACCTCGGGCCCACAAGGACAGAATGTATGGGTAGGTGGACATAAGTGGTAGGGTTAGCCTTAGAGAGGAGTGAGGAGAACTCAAATACGAGAAGAAGAAGATATGATGAAGAAGAAGGCAGGAAGCTGATAACTATTATCTTCACTGAGAAGTAGAGATTTATGTCACATCTTGACAGTGAAGTAGAGGAAGAGGTCAGGCTGGGGACTCAGTCAATTGATAATCCCTAGATAATTGGTCCTCTTTGTTGTTGTTATGTGCCACTGAGTCACCCGAGACTCACAGCGACCCTATGCACAACAGCCCTAAACCCTGCTCTATCTTGTGCCAATCTCACTGTCTCTGAACACCTACCCCCATTACCCCAGTCACTGAGTCAATCCATCTCGTCGAGGGTCTTCCTCTCCTGCTCTGTCCCTCCACCCTCCCAAGGATGATATCCCTCTCCAAGGACTGGCCCCTCCTTGCAACATCTCCAAAGTATGTCAGATGAAGTTTCAAAATCCTTGCCTCTAGTTTAACCCTCTCCAGGATGACCCTGTTTGTTTTCTTAGCAGTCCATGGTATAATTGTTCCTCTACTCCAAGTATTTTTCTGTGTTGTAAAGGCATCTTGCTGGCCTGATAAATTTAGCATTACGTGTGTTCATGGGAGTCGTTCAGACTCAGGGTGCTGGGAATCATTTGAGGATGGTCTTGGCTTTCGGTATCCCTGCAATGAGCTGATGAGGTAGCCACCTATTCCATTCAGCGTCCTGCTAGTTCATAACAGCGTCCACAGTGAACCCAGCTCTCATACCTACAACTCTGTTGGCAGAGAAGTGGACTTTCTTTAGGGAGCAGCATCTTAGAACATTTGTTGGTATTCTTAGATACCAGTAGGTTGACCAGTGCTAGAGAGTCAGGACCTATTAACATGAAAATACAGTTCTTGGTCACTTCTGGCTCAAGGTGGTCGACCGAAAGCATCCAAAACAGAAAGAGTGGGGGGGGAGGGGTGAAGGCAGCATTCGGTGAGAGTACGATAATGTTCAGGGTGAGAAAATAAGATGAAGGGTGTTGAGTGAGGCACAGAGAGCCTGCGCAGAGCTTAGGAGTTTGACTGTTATTGGGATTAAAAAGACTGCAGTCAGGACCAGCAGTTAGCAATCAGGCCAAGAGTAAGAAGTGAGACTGAAAATGGGGAGGGGGTGTTAAGTGAAGGTTAGTGGGAAGAGCTTCCCACCCTGTCCCCACCCCAGTAGTATTTTAGGCGTACAGCATGTCAAGCAGCCAGGTGTTTTCTCCTCTGAAGAGTTGAATAAACTCCTTAGAATAGTTTGGATGGTCTGGTTCCCAGAGGAAAGCTTTACTCCTTCTAGCATTTTTTAACCTCGAGTGTAAGGGCTGCCTTTTTCTCTTATCATTCACCCAAATACTCAGATTTTCTGCCCAGCCTCTCACCCTGTTCTTCAGTATGAAGGGACAGCCAGTGAAACTTGAGGTTTGTTGGGAGACATGGTACGTGTGTGGGGGGAGATAAAAATAAACTAACAGAATAAGTGACTTGGACAGAAACAATCCAAGGAATAAAAGAGGTGATTAACAATGACTAAACCTTAAACTCTGTGCAGTAAACACAAATAAGTTTAGGAATTTATCCCGTTCATTTGAAAATGAATGGGATTCTGTTTCTGTTTATAAGGAAGACTCAGAAAAAGGGGGAAAGGAACTTTAAGGTTAAAAACATAGTTGCAGAGCCAAAATTCCAGTGGAAGTATTTGAAGAAATGCTAAGAGATCTATAAAGAGAGAGATATAAAAGTCAAATAGAGTGAAAAAGAGCTGAAGCATATTGCTTCAAGGATCTATATTGAAGTATTATGTGTCCCTGAAGAATTGAAC